TATCCTAGCGTGGATGGCAGACTTTCTGCATGATCGCAAACAGTGTGTGGTGATTAATGGCACACAATCATCAAGTGTAAGTACCTGTGACAAGCAGGGTACTACAGGGCAGTGTATTGGGCCCATTGTTGTTTGATTGCTTCATAAATGATATGCCAGAAACTATACGCTCCTCCATACAAATGTTTGCGGACGATGCCTAGTTATTTACAGAAATTAAGAACCACACTGACTGTGAATAGATACAGAAAGATATCTGTGTGCTTCAAGAATGGTCGAAGAAATGACTGCTAAGTTTCAATGTAACGAAGTGTAAGGGGATGCACCTGGGACTTACCAATGGTAACGAGGCGTATCACATATCACATAAGGACGAATAAACTGCATTAATTGAGACCGAATGTGAAAAGGGCCTGGGTGTGTGTGTTGACAATTAAATTAAGTCCTCGGGCCATTGTGAGAAGAAGGTGAATCAGACAACGAAACTAATAGGTCTCATTAGAAGGTCGTTTATATAAGTGGATGGTCCGTCGCTCGTCACGGTCCTCAAAAGTGAGGTGCTTCCTCTTCTGGAGTACTGTCATCCCGACTAGTCCCCGAAGTATGCTAGAGACTGTTAATCTATTGAAAATATCCAAAGGAGGGACACCAGACTGGTGCTTGCTCCACGGAATCTCAGCTACCCAGAGTGATTAAAACGCCTGCAACTGCCTAGCTTATACTAATCGAAGTGTATAAACATCTCAGAGGGCACTACTCAGTCGAGTGTGCATACCTGGAGCTGGCGGACGCCCGCCCCACAAGGGGTCACAGAAGCCAAAAGTCCAGAAAACAGTGAGGGCAAACTTTTTCGGAGTGAGAATTGTGAACTCTTGGAACAATCTGCCAGAGAGTGTTGTGAAGGCACCGAGTGTGAGCTCTTTCAAGACCAGACTTGACCAACACTGGAGCAGGTTCCGTTATATTCAGGAGCCAATTCATGCTCAGTACTTTCCAAAAGTGCGTAACAGAGACGGAACCGACCGCCCAAGCGGCTAACGAGCCGATCAGTGGCGAAGAGGATAAAAGTAAAAGTAAAAGTGCCAAACATAACCCAAGTATTTGTAAACAATTTTCACTCGTCATGAAGTCAGGTTTTGGCTAGACACCAACCACCCGACTTCCCAAACATTATATTATTATGTCTAGTTAAATGACAAACTGTGTACCTTGTGAAGGTTAATCCCGCGGAACACCCGGGGGGTACAGTAAGCCATATAGAAAGAAAGGCCTTTTGTCAAAATCCTCACTGGTGAGCAACAGTAGGTGTCTAACCGTCAGTGAGGCGTGTACTGCTGTGGCATCCTTGGCTGTTCTTACTGCCACTGTGCCTCACAGTCAGTAAGTCTTAAGTTCTCTGGTTTAGGTGAAGGTATTAGGGACTAATTAGATTTCATCTCCCTTATTTTTTTATTGCATGACTCACTACATACTTACCTCTCGGGCTGTGATGACATACAATATTATTTTAACCTTACTCTACCGTATTGTTTATAATCATAGAGTACAGCTTGTATGACTGATCACATTTATAAATGTTATTAATCTTCTAATTTGATCTTTCCTGTCTTACATATATCATGGTGGAAATTGATGTAGAAATAGCTACTTTCCATCACCAAGAGGTTCAGTTTTCTATAATAACTAACAGGAATCCTACCTAGTCTTTCAGATAACATCAGTACAGTACAGATAAAATCATTCTGTATACTATACAGTAGACTAAACAACCAAGACTAGTATTAATACTGAACACAAGTAACCAATTCTTGACTTTTTTTTATAGTTCTCGTGTACACATGTTGACAGACTCACACATGTGTACTGGATACCTCTATCTTTCACGACAAACTGGTCTTCCTCAGGGTCCAGTGAGGCCCATCCCACATATTTTTAAGAGGCGTTACATAACGTGTCATTGGATGATCATGTACTGTACGCATGTGAATTCTTGAATAAGAATTGTGAAAATGGCTGATTTTATATTGAATGTGTTGTCTGGGTGACCACCAGTGATAACTCTAGGGTGTGTTAAGGTAAAAACGATAAAAATGAAGCAAATATTTAATAGCAGGGGAGGACAGTCTTGTACGGATTATCTGAACCTACCCTGGAAATGAGTCTAAAATTCACTCACCAGAGGTCACTAGGACCAGATTCTCAAATGTATAAAATAAAATTCTTTCCCTCATCATCAGTATTTTGAGAATCCGAGACCAGGGGAAGCGTACAAAGGGTATACAAAATACATATCTATATTAAATATTGTTTTATATAGATTACAACTATTTAAATTTCCACACAATATATCTTTAACATCAATAATTAAAATAGTATAACTAGCTAACACCGGGACCAGGCGAAGCTATGACAGTATAATATTTAGGACTCCCGCCAGAGAAGCAGCACCAGCACAAGCAGTCAACAGTAGCTGGCGATCAACTCCATCCCACAATGAAACTTTTATGGAAACTCGAGCAGACGAAAAATAACAGTTGCCTGCCTTCTTCCTGCACTGGCGCTCTCTTACGATAAGGATATATGGGAGTCCTCCTGATGATGGGGCGCTAAACGAGGTCCTCCTGATGATGGGGCGTTAAACAAGGTCCTCCTGATGATGGGGCGCTAAACGAGGTCCTCCTGATGATGGGGCGCTAAACGAGGTCCTCCTGATGATGGGGCGTTAAACGAGGTCCTCCTGATGATGGGGCGCTAAATGAGGTCCTTCTGATGATGGGGCGCTAAATGAGGTCCTTGATGATGGGGCGCTAAACGAGGTCCTCCTGATGATGGGGCGCTAAATGAGGTCCTCCTGATGATGGGGCGCTAAACGAGGTCCTCCTGATGATGGGGCGTTAAACGAGGTCCTCCTGATGGGGCGCTAAATGAGGTCCTTCTGATGATGGGGCTAAATGAGGTCCTTCTGATGATGGGGCGCTAAACGAGGTCCCTCCTGATGATGGGGCGCTAAACAAGGTCCTCCTGATGATGGGGTGCGAGGTCCTCCTGATGATGGGGTGCTAAACGAGGTCCTCCTGATGATGGGGCGCTAAACGAGGTCCTCCTGATGATGGGGCGCTAAACGAGGTCCTCCTGATGATGGGGCGCTAAATGAGGTCCTTCTGATGATGGGGCGCTAAACGAGGTCCTCCTGATGATGGGGCGCTAAACAAGGTCCTCCTGATGATGGGGCGCTAAACGAGGTCCTCCTGATGATGGGGCGCTAAATGAGGTCCTTCTGATGATGGGGCGCTAAATGAGGTCCTTCCGATGATGGGGCGCTAAACGAGGTCCTCCTGATGATGGGGGCTAAACGGGTCCTCCTGATGATGGGCGCCAAAGAGGTCCTCCTGATGATGGCAAACGACGTCCTCCTGATGATGAGGCGCTAAACGAGGTCCTCTCCTGATGATGGGGCGCTAAACGAGGTCCTCCTGATGATGGGGCGCTAAACGAGAGTCCTCCTGATGATGGGGCGCTAAAGGTCCTCCTGATGATGGGGCGCTAAATGAGGTCCTCCTGATGATGGGGCGCTAAACAGTGTTCTCCTGATGATGGGGCGCTCCTCCTGATGATGGGGCGCTATACAGTGTTCTCCTGATGATGGGGCGCTATAGGTTCTCCTGATGATGGGGCGCTAAACAGTGTTCTCCTGATGATGGGGCGCTATACAGTGTTCTCCTGATGATGGAGGGTTGAACAAGGTTCTCCTGGTAGTGAGGCCTTGGAATATATTTTCCTGACGGTGAAGCACTATACTGTACAAGGTTCTCTTGATGGCAACACCTTACAGTAGAGCTTCCTGGCGACGAGCCACTGCCTAAAATTCCCAGATAGTGAGGTACGTACCCTAGCGAGTGTTCCCACACTATTAAACCACTGAACCAACGGTTGCAAGTGCCTCACAACAACACTGGATCTTGTAAAAATCACTGCGCATTACAGATTATTATTTTTTCAGCTTACTGCTCATACCAAGTGATAGTACCTTCAAATCACTGTGTATTGTAATATTGTTGCGTCAAATTCACTGCTTTTTAAACCTCAATGCTAATTAGATACAGTGCTCATCAAAACTGCTTCTCTTACCATTGAATTATGTTTTACGGTACACTACAATAATAGTTTACCTCTTATTACAGTTAACTTATTTTATATGTTTCCCGATTAAAAACAAGTTTAGATGTCAGCACTACAGCCTATACAGAATCAGAAATCTGATGTAACTAACAGATAGACTGTGATGTCCCATTTATCTTGTGCTGCTCATCACGAAACAGTAGTACAAAGCAACAGGTAGGCGTAACCAAACTCTATGTGCACTGGAGCTGTAGACCTTTACACTATAGGACACTGTAACATTCAGTACATGGAGTGATATAAGTTGTAAAATAGAAAACTATGCCTTCCCAATAAACTATACAATTTCCTGTACAATAAGGAACTTGCATCTGCAGTTCCTTGCACATAAGAGATGGGTAACCTCCAGATGCCTACATATTAGTGATGAACAGCTTGCCTTGCCGATATTTTAAGGATGGGATAATGCAGCTGTCTTCACATTCTGAATTACTCTATAAACTTGGGTCACTGGCAGTTTCCTGCACATAAAAGATGATTACCCTGTAGATGCCTACACGTTATGGAAGGGAGACCCTGTGAACACTAGATGGAAATAAGACCTGTAGAGGAAGAGGCTGGCTAGTACAGTACTCTCACGGGCTAAGTACAGTTTATGTCAAGTGTCACCTGTACCTCGGTGTTCTACTCTGCTGACCTAACTCTATACCTTCATTTACCCTATGAGTGCGTAATCACAAGTAATACATAATGTGAACATCTATGCTTCTCTGACGCCTCATTGTATTATGTACACAAGCAGCCCTCAGCGGAACTACTCACTGTGTATTTCAACTAGTAAGAAAATAACATTACTTTTGCATATAAAGGAAACAACTTGGAAACCAAAACTAGGCTTTAATTCTCAGAGTTATATGTTGAATTTTTATCTTAAGAGGACGTGAGACCGTTTGTAAATGGCTGACTTACTCTCAAAGATAACGCCCAAACACAAGTAAAAAAAACAAAAAACACTGGGAGTCTTCCCTAACCTAACAAACTCTCATTCCCGGCTAGGAGAAAATTTTCAACATTTACTCGTAATTTTTTTAGAATATTATGGGCACTGAAGTGTATACATGTATATTTTGTAGAACAAACAAGATCATATTCACTCTTAATTGGTCGACAATCTTTACTAAATCAGGTTAACATCTCCTTTACACGAATTTATTGATTTTTTTTACTTTCAAACTCGTTCTACATCTAAAAATTCAGACTGAAGGTGCAGAATTTCCTGTTTGTATGATAAAAAAATATTAATTAAATACCATGAAATCTTACTAAAAGAAAGAATATATAAACTAGTGTGGTCGCCCACACTAGTGTGTGTCACACTGTTTGTCTGACTGATGGGGAAATGAGTCTCATGATGTATGAATGAGTGGTACAAAGTATTTTATATATGTCTTGCTATCTATCAAAATATCTCAGTTCTTCCCTAGATACTATAAAATGTTCATTATGACAAAAATTATATTATATAAAGATAACAAGATGTGTGAGGCTAGTCTAGGTAAGAGCCTGATGTAAGAGGTGCAGCAGGGGAAGTAGGGCAAGGCTGGGGGTGGCCAGGGGCGCCGCCGCACCCTTTTCGTCGTTTGGAGGTTTCATGGGCCACGCCGTCATTAGAGGGATGAACCGCTGCCAGAAACACAACCTGTAGGGAAGAGGAAGTTGATAGTAGTTGGAAGGTGATACAAATCTGGCACAGTATACTGTACAACTTATCGGAGAGGATGAACATGACCGTAAAAGGAACAAGTTTTACGAAATTTGTATGAAAAGGAAAGATGGCAGAGTGAAGTACACTCGAGGGCAGTGTTGATAGTGGTAACAGGTTCTCTGGGCATATTGAAGACTTGAAGGAAAGGTCGTGGACAATAAATCCATTGTTTAACTTTCTTGAGCTACAAAATAGAAGGCTGAATGGGCGAGTTGTCGGTTCTGGGTAAACACAAGAAATACACTCTGCCACTTCCGTAGAGTGATACTGTATATATAATTTGTAATAAAAGATTAAAGTCCTGCTATAATAGTCAAGATAACTTTATTTCTCTAGAAACAGGGCCGCCATTTACAATGACTTCACCACCTTCCCTACAGACGACGCTTTCCAACAAACTCACAGCTGCAGTCGGTGGTTGTAGAAAGGATGGCCTCTTCAGACCCCAAATGCCATGTTTCCAGTAAATGCTACATATATGATTTATGCCATATAAGATGAACCAAGCCATTCCTAACTGACGAAGATGTAATATATTTTTATTCAGGCAGGTTTTAAGGGTGTTTTTTTTATGGTCTAAGTCATGGACACTTCGTAAGTGAAGAAATGTGCCGTGAAGAGCAGCTTCAAACATAGTAGATAGTAGATGTCAATAGGATAGTAGAGTATTATCAAGAACTCGGCCAGCCAGCTATGAAGCACGTTAAAATGTTCAAAGGAGGGCGACCAGACTGGTGCCTGCACTTCGGCACCTCAGCTACCCTGAGAGATTGGAGCGCCTGAACTTGCCTAGCTTATACTACAGACGGGCAAGGGGGGACCTAGTTGAGGTGTATAAGCATCTCAGGGGGCACTACTCAGTTGAGTGTCCTTACTTGGAGCTGGCGGACGCTCGCCCCACAAGGGGTCACAGCTCAAGATTGAAGAAGCCGCAAGTCCAGAAAACTGTGAGGGCAACTGTTTCGGAGTGAGGGTTGTAAACTCTTGGAACACTCTACCAGAGAGTGTTGTGACGGCACCGAGTGTGAGCTCTTTCACGAAAAGACTTGACCAACACTGGAGCGGGTTCAGGTACATTCAGGAGCCGGTGCATGCCCAGTATTTACCAACAGTGCGTGACAGAGATGTGACCGATCGCCCGGGCGGCTAACGAGCCGATCAGTGGTGAAGAGGATAAAAGTAAAAGTAAAAGTAAATTACATCTGTCATCTGATTATCGCAAGCCCATTCCCTGGCCATGGTCATCCCTAGTCCTTCCACAACATTAAATATAGACATCAGTGACGAAAACTTACATTTTCCAAACATGAAATAGAGAACAGTGATGAAAGCTTCCATGTTGGAGTTATCGGCCTTTTGCAAGTAAATGCACACGATGATACTTGAGCAGTAATTTATTTTAAAGTAAAAATAAGATTTTCCTGTGTATATCAACATTGTATATGGTCACAAGTCCTGTATTTCTGCTGGTAATAACACATACTGTACACCACAGCTCGCTGCCTCCATCTCCCGTTCGGCGGCTGGAGCCAGCCAGTGACGTTACAACAAATCACAGAGCTTTTCGCAGGCACGTGACTTTTTAGCTACTTTAACCCTTATTTTTAGCACTTTTTGGCCCAATTTATTTAAAAATATCATTACCATTGTGAATTTAAGCGTTTTCTTTACCCATTTACCTGTGCTGGACGAGGTTGTGACTAAGGGACAGGTGTTCACTCATCTCAAGGTGCACGAGATGACTCATGTTGTATGTTGGCCACTGTAGCCCTCTCAACTCCGGCACCCTGCTGGGGGAGACGCTTTACTGAGAACAACTTTACTGAAGATGGCTTGAGTGAGGAGGACAATGTTACTGAGAATATCTTTACTGAGGAGGCAATCTTTAATGAAAATAATTTAATACACCAACTTTACTGAGAAGTATGACTTTACTGAGGAGAATAACTTGATTGAGAAGAATTACTTGACTGAGAAGAATTACTTTACTGAGGAGAATAACTTGATTGAGAAGAATTACTTGACTGAGAAGAATTACTTTACTGAGGAGAATAACTTGACTGAGAAGAATTACTTTACTGAGGAGATTAACTTTACTGAGGAGAGTGACTTTACTGAGGAGATTAACTTTACTGAGGAGAGTGACTTTACTGAGGAGAATGACTTTACTGAGGAGAAGACTTTACTGAATGACGTTAATTAGAAGAATGATTTAATGAAGCGAATAACTTTACCTAAGAGAACAACTTTTTAAGAGGAACCTCTGACTGGGCTGGTGACTTTGAGTACGATGACATTCTATTCAGGTGCTTAAGTCATCATAATCATGAGGTTATGTCATCATAGTCAAGGGGCTAATCAATCGTACTAAAGGAGCTAAGTCATAATTTTCAAGAGCTTACATCATCGTACTTAAAGGGTTAAGTCATTATATTCAAGGGGTTAAGTCATTATATTCAAGGGGCTAAGTCATTATATTCAAGGGGTTAAGTCATCACACGCAAGGGGTTACGTCCTCGCACTCAAGGGATGAAGTCATTCGTACTCAAGGAATTAAGTCATTGTACTCAAGGGATTAAGTCATTCGTACTAAAGAGTTTAAATAATTATACTCAAGGGATGAAGTCAGCATACTCAAGGGATTAAGTCATCGTTCTCAAAGGGATTAAGTCATTGTACTCAAGGGATTAGGACATTAGGTCATCGTACTCAAGGGATTAAGTCATCGTTCTCAAAGGGATGAAGTCATCGTACTCAATGGATTAAGTCATCGTTCTCAAAGGGATTAAGTTATCATACTCAAAGGATTAAGTCATCATACTCTAAGGATTAAGTCATCGTACTCAAGGGATTAATTCATCGTACTCAAGGGATTAATTCATCGTACTCAAGGGATTAAGTCATCGTACTCAAGGGATTAAACGTACCCAGTGTGAGCGAAGGAGATGATAAGTCTCATGATGGTGGTGGCAACTGAGCGATCGTCCGGGCCTCGTAGGGTGTTCATCAGACCCAGAAATGGCTGACCGAACACAAACTGCAGTTCACTCTCATGGTAGGAACCTGCAAAGCCACACCTAGCAATATGAGCTTCAAACTGACACAGACAACGTGAGCTTGAGAGGGAACTTGTATAACCCGTTCAAAGTTCATCACCGACTTAAAGTCTAGCTATTCCAAGGTTAGGTTAATGTTAAGTCAAGTAAGAAGTTAAATTGTCTCCAGCTTGTGACACACCGGCCATACACCCACCTATCCATTTCTGGTCTCCCACACGCACGTCATCAGGAGAAGCGTAGGAGAATTCGGCGAAGTAGAGGCTAGTCCAGCGACTGAGCAGCCCTGCCTCCTCCACACAGGGCACCCGCAGGCCGAGGTCAGAGATCAACTGAAAAAAGAAAAGTAGGTCAATCACAATCACTGAGGAGAGTGCTGACACGTCCACCAGTTCGACTAACAACCACCAGTACAGTATATCTGAACCTAGAAAGCATCACATATCAGCTGAAAGTCACATACCGCCTGTTACATTCATACATAAGTTGTGGCAGATGGGAATACGTCAGAATTTCATAAATCAATTGGAATTATCTTTTAAATACAAGAAAAAAGAACGAGTATAGTAAAGATTCTATTTAAAAAAGATCATAGTCATGCGGGACATGTTGGTGTCTATGATGGTCAATGTATATAACTTGGCTCAAAACAAGACTTAGAGTAAATTTTAATTCATCATGACCGTTACTGAGTACACTTGTGGTGCTTACTCCAGCATCAACCAGTCACACGGCACCACCTTCACAGACTCGACCTTCTCTGAGAGCCTTCGCGGCCCCTACCACCTACTGTAGTACTTTGACTTGGCCGAATGTAAACTCATCAATACAGTTTACAGAGAGAAAATATATGAACATAGTGCAAGTGTTGATAGTCTACCTCAGCCATGACCTTGATGGGGACCATCGGTTGAGGGGCGGCGGGAGTGTGGTGGTAGCCGTTGCGGTAGAGGTAGGAGGCACGGACGGCGTGCCTGACGGCGGCCAGTGCTAGAGGCTCCAGCTCAGGGAAATTTAGTTTCATCAACATGTCCATCCACTTCTCAGCGTCACCCAGACTGAGGTCGATGTTTTCTGGAGGAAAAGATTCATCTATTACACGTTATTAGTTTCTCTGTGTCATAATCATTACAACACTAGTGAACTAATACTCATATTAGACCGACTGAATCACTTTACTTAAATCAGGTGTTGAAGGCCTGACCCTAAGAGCTGTGAGTCTCGCAGCATGACTGGTGTACACAACATGTCATCTGCTCAGTAGAAAATGACAAAAAATATCACAAATCTCATCATGGTGACATATAACACTGATTAGGTAAACACACTCCATTATATTTCATTAATCTGCAATAAAAGCTTCACACTGATACACCTAACATATACAGAATGCCTGCCATGGCTCTACGAACACCACACACATATGCTTATGTGAAGCACAATAGAAATGCTAGACTGAACATAAGAACCTAGATGTACAGTAGAGAGCTCGGTGTCCAGGAGTGTGTCCGAGTGATGGTTAACATTTATCAAGGTTGCCACCATAAAACACATCCATAAATTTCGAAACAAACCAAACAAACCACAAACGTGACCAGGTATGTCACGCACATCGTGCCTAAGGTAAGATTTTGCTATGAGGGGTTTTCTTGAGACGGAATTTTAATTTTCCGTTGTTATTCTAACTACGACTAATATAGAGAAGTTTTGTTAACATGTGACCTGCTGTTAAGCAAGATTTTGGAGAGCTTGTCGACTTTTCGTGTTATAGTGGGTGGGAAACACACACACTCACTCTCTCTCTCTCTCTCTCACTCATGTATATATATATATATATATATATATATATATATATATATATATATATATATATATATATATATATATATATATATATATATATATATATATATATATATATATATATATATATATATATATATATATATATATATATATATATATATATATTTTTTTTTTTTTTATGTATTTCATTTATTTTTCTTATTCGTGTCTAAAGCTTGTGTTGTGATTTAGACAGACAGAGTCGCAAATGATACTCACTTTTCCTAAACCAGATGGAGACCTCATCCCTGGTGAGGGTCATGATGAGGGGTACAGGAGGCAACGAGCCCTCCTCCAGCAGTCTCCTGGGGGCCCGCGGCAGGAACACCCCAGGCAGGTCACCCTCTACTACAGGGGCGAAGGTCAGCCACAACCCGTCCTGTAAGTTGTCCTTCTCATATACCTGCCAGAGACCATCACAGGTTAATGCGGTTCATGGAGAGACATGTTACAAGTCCATAATATACAAGCATGGGAGGATGACGCACGGCGACAGTTTCCTCTACGACCATCGTGCACACTAAGGTAGTTTAGATTTAGGTTTGAAAAGTTAGTTTACGACTAGTTAAGCCAGTTAACGTTGGTGCATCTGATGTGGAAGGGTAATTGTGGGCGTGGGTGAGACAGCATACCTTGTTGGTCTTATGGGGTGGGTGGTGTAGCCTTACCTCGTTGATGGTATGGGGGTCGGTGCGTCTGAGGCAGTCGACCAGCTCGGTGGAGGGAGTCTGTGGACAGCCCACGTCAGCCGCCAGCTTCTGGGCGAAATGATTGGGTCGTGTCTGCAGGGACCAAGGCGCCAGGGCACAGCCGGACAGAGCCACTGCCCGCGTGAACAACCCTGGGGAGTGTAGCGCTATGAGTCATCCCAGTAAAGAACAGGTCAAATGTACCTGTTATGTTCAAGTTTTGGTCATCTCCAGGGGCCTTATAAAGCGTCACAGTCCGGAGATCCAAGGCGTCAGATGCAAGTGTGTGGATCAACCTAATATGCACAATGGTTATTTTGGTCAATAAATATTGTTGTATTATATTATTGGTAGAAATTTATACTGCTGCATTGTTATAAGCTTTTGTATGGACTGCTGTTCAAATCATCATTGAAATGAAATTAATTAAGTCAAGTGTCAAAAATCAAGCTGTTTACCACGTACTGTGCCCAACCCAATAACTTTGAAACTATCAGTCTTTAGTAACATCATAATGAGAAAGTGATATATATATATATATATATATATATATATATATATATATATATATATATATATATATATATATATATATATATATATATATATATATATATATATTAGTTTTTTACTTTTAATTTGCTTCCTTGCGTCCAGTGGATGAAATACTCTGGGACAAGACGAAGAATAATGAATGATATTAACACAAAATTAAAACCATGTTATGAATACCAATGGGTTTTTCTTGAAAAAGTAATTAACTAAATTCAAAGCTGGTCAGAAGACTTCATTACCACCGTACCGTAAGTGTTCGCTCATCACAGTAAGCCACCTGAATTGTTTACATGTTTGGTATTCATTAACACACCTTTTAGTATATTAAACTGAGAGAGAGAGAGAGAGAGAGAGAGAGAGATAATATAGCATATTTAGTATCTTATGACTTGGTGTTCTGCAGTAGCTCCTTCAACCCTTTAGTCTTCCTTCAAGGCCCATTATAGGACAACACACGATCCACCATACATAAAGGAAACAGTGCTTGGACTCAACTCAACACCCCACCTGGCGGGTTGGCGTGATGATGGGTTTGTGGGGTGCCGCTTTCACCTGAGGTTCAATGCCTGCCAGAGACAGACGCCCTGGGCCTGCACGTGTGATGGGAGAACGCGAAGAATGGAGCTCCGTCCTCCATAGTGACTCATGCGTTAATTAGGTCAAGACTAAAGAGGTAGATCGTCTGCTGTCAACCACACACCGACCTGTCGCGAACCTCGTCCTCGACACAGGCTCTGGCACACACACACCGCCCCTCTACGGCTGCCACTCGCCTTCTCTTAGAGGCTTAGACCCAAGTCAAGGTAGAGGGATCGGAACACTCGGATGTCAGGAACAGATATTATATAGAAATCCGAAGCCCAATTGTTTAAAGAATCGTACGTTACATTACACTCGACCTCATTCAAGAGAAAATGTCACAACGCATCTAAATGACCCACTTATAAGACTCCGGTACCATTATAACAATGGGTTCGAAATAACAGTAAGCCAAGATTCTAAGCAAGATTCCTTTACACACTCTCCAGTTAATTACGAATATAAAACAGATCGTACGAGGCTTTGAGAACCAGGACCCAGGGACCAAGGCGGAAGTGATCTCAGCATAATATACAGAGATACAGAGAGTCGTGCAGGTGACACTTCCCCGAGAGCCATTAACGTTATTTACACAGGAGTGAGGAGTTACCTGACCACTGGCCCGGACACATATTTTTATGACCCACAAGGCAAGGAAATTGATGCAGAAACTTTAGGAAACTGGAGTGTGTGGTGGTGATGAGTGTGTGGTGGTGATGAGTGTGTGGTGGTGATGAGTGTGTGGTGGTGATGGTGTTGGTAAGTGTGTGGTGGTGATAGTGGTGGTGAGTGTGTGGTGGTGTTGGGGAGTGTGTGATGGTAAGTGTGTTGGTGGTGATGGTGGTGGTGAGTGTGTGGTGGTGATAGTGGTTGTGAGTGTGTGATGGTGAGTGTGTGTGGTGGTGATGGTGGTGAGTGTGTGGTAGTGAGTGTGTGATGGTGATGGTGGTTGTGAGTGTGTGGTGGTGATGATAGTGGTGATGATAGTGGTGATGGTGGTGGTGGTGGTGGTGACGATGATGGTGGTAGTGGTAGTAGTTGCGGCGATGATAGTGGTGGTGGTGGTTTTGTGGCGGCGATGGTTGTAGTGGTGGCGGCGGTGGTGGTGGTGGTGGTGAAGACGGTGGTGATGGTGGTGGTGGAGGAGAGTGACGCGCGCCACAGGTAATATTCTCCCTCTATTAATCACTGTGTCTTCCTGAGTGACGGGAGGAGCCAGGAGGAAGGAGGCGAAGGGAGGAGGAGGAGGAGGAAGGCGAGGGGAGGAAGTAGGTCAGGGAAGGAGGTTGATGAATGGGGAGGAGGAGGAGGAGGAAGGTGAGGGGAGGAGGAGGAAGAGGGAGAACGGAAGAGAATGAAGGTACAAGTTGACAGGAAGAGGGGGAGGTGAACGTAAGGAGGAGAGCTGACGAGGGGGAAGGACTGAATGACTGACTGACCAACTGACACTGACTGACCGACCTATTTACTGACTGACTGACTGAAGGAGAGAAAAATCCTCCACGTCAGCAAATATCAACAAAGTCGGTGATCAATTTGTGGTCTTCTTGTAATGCTCTCAAGAGTTTCCGCTGTGGAGGAAAATGCCATCGTTTGGGGGGACATTTTTCGTTTTAGGGGCAAATTATTTTCTGTGGCTAAAGGTATCATGTTACTACAGTATATCAATAAGGGAGAGAGAATGTTTTTTGAGGGGATGTGGTTATAGGGGGAAAAAAGGAAGAACAGAGGGGAATAATAGAGAAGGGAAGAATCTTCTTTTAAAAATGAATGAAGATAAGTAGTCTATTCCTAACACATAAGTACACACTAGACTAACAACACAAAGCACTTCTAATTTACCATACTTACACACTTAAATCATCACTCTAAATGTAGTAAATTACTTAATTCTACTTTACACTTTACCAATACTAGTAAACTTTGATCAGAAATCCACCACTGACCTTGACTGTACTTTATTTACCTGACACTGTAGCAAGACATAAACCCTTTTTAATATCGTCCAGGATACAGGAACTGCTGTACCTATATAATGTACTTATATAATGTACTTAATACCTACACCTGTACTTGTAGTCACATTTCTGTAGTGAAGATTATATATTACGTCAGTAAAGTTGTTACTGTACATGTAATTATTATTTCATCAGGTTAACGCTAGAGTGAACATTAATACATCAGGTTAACACTAGAGTGAACATTAATACATCAGGTTAACACTAGAGTGAACATTAATACATCAGGTTAACACTAGAGTGAACATTAATACATCAGGTTAACACTAGAGTGAACATTAATACATCAGGTTAACGCTAGAGTGAACATTAATACATCAGGTTAACACTAGAGTGAACATTAATACATCAGGTTAACGCTAGAGTGAACATTACTACGTCAGGTTAACGCAAGATTGAACATTACTACATCACGTTAACGCTAGAGTGAACATTACTACGTCAGGTTAACGCTAGAGTGAACATTAATACATCAGGTTAACGCTAGAGTGAACATTAATACATCAGGTTAACTCGAGAGTAAACAATACTACAACAGGTTTACGTTACGTCTTGCTATATCTACGTAAGATAATTCCAGTGACACATTCTAATACATTATTCGTCTTAGTGCGTCTGATATTTTCCTTTTTTCCAATTTCATTTCAGTTCAGATTTGTGTTCATCTAGTTAGAGGCAGGAGGAGGGGGTCTTTGTGAAATCTGATGCATGTCTCCCGCAGAATTACTTGGGGGGCTGTGTGGGAGGAGAGCGCGTGGGAGGAAGAGAGTCGTGGGAAGGGAGCACGTAGGAGAGGGGCACGTGGGAGGGAGAGAGTCGTGAGAGGGAGAGTCGTGGGAGAGAGAGTCGTGGGAAGGGAGCACGTAGGAGAGGGGCACGTGGGAGGGAGAGAGTCGTGAGAGGGAGAGTCGTGGGAGAGAGAGTCGTGGGAAGGGAGCACGTAGGAGAGAGGCACGTGGGAGGGAGAGAGTCGTGGGAGGGAGAGTCGTGGGAGGCGGGTTAGAGATACGCGCTAAAGACACACAGTCCCAGGAGTAGAGAAGAGAAATAATTATAACACAACAATGAACGGGAGAGACGCAGGTGAAGCATATTTACCTTCGAATACTCTGTCTCACTTGTAGGGGAAAGTGACTTGTCCTGGGGAAGTGGTGACTTACTTACCCTGGGAGAGAGGTGAGACAAGGTGCAGGATGACGGAGGCGGCGCCGGCGGAGTTGCCCACAAGCAGAAGCTTGTCCTTATGGGCACCGAAGTACTGGGCGTGGCGTCGCACCCATAGCATGGCCAGCCGCTGATCCAGAAGACCCCAATTTCCCCGCGACGTGGAGTCCCCCGTTGACAGGAACCCTGGGAAGGCGAGAGACTTGTTATATGCTTGTTACAAGGAGGTTGGGAGGGTCGGACGAAAGTGTGGAGAGAGATGTGAAGGTGTTCAGTCTGAAATGGGAGATCTAAGTTTGAACGGCTGGAACGGAAACATTATGTGTCAGAGAGCAGATGTTCTTCAAAGCACATAAAAAGTTTCTCATTTACACTTCAGAAGTTCCTGAGGTGAAAAATACGGGACGACGCTTTAAGAGGAGGGATGGATCACATTTTTTATATTTTTATTATTATTATTATTATTATTATTATTATTATTATTATTATTATTATTATTATTATTATTTGGGTTGAGGATGGAGAAATGGATGAAGATCAGCTTATATTCAGATGAAGAATCAACATTACAGGAGTTTAATAAAGAAGAAACATATAAATCTTTAGGGAGAACTGGAACGAATTCAGGTACACATTTTCTTGATAATGAGAGATTGGATGCCATCAAGGTGTTCAGGCTTTGTTTAGGTCAAGAATGGACACAGCAGAAAACACTACGGCAGTATAATGAACAAGGTGCTGTAGGCGGCGAGGTGAAAGATCGAGGTACTTGGAAGACGTAGTTGCCAAGACAAATGTAACCCATAAGTCTCACTTTACCTTGACCTGTATTTAGTTTACACACTCTAGTTGTACAGTAATTGATATAAATGGTCAGTTATTATGTTGTTGTGATTTACAGCTTAAGTTGTTTCTCCCTCTCTCTCCTTCCTTCCCTCCCTCCTCCCTACCTCTCCACGCATCTTTTCATTTGACTCCCATGTTCCTGTAGATAGGAGGAGAGAGAGAGAGAGAGAGCGTGGGTGGAAGAGTGGCAGGAGGTAGGAGGCAAAGGTCAGAGCTTCAGTGTGTTGACTTACACTGTTACTGTCAGAGGGTTTTATTTTTTCATAACAAACTACGGAATTATCTCTCTCTCTCTCTCTCTCTCTCTCTCTCTCTCCCACACACACGCAGAATACATGAAGATACATGTTCTGCACATCTGCTGAATGTGTGTTAACACCTGCTCTACACACCTGACCAGAACTGCCCTATACACTTGGCCACACCTGCCTTACATACTTGGCCACACCTGCCCTACACACTTGGTCACACCTGCTCTACACACATAGCCACACCTGTCCTATACACATGGCCACACCTGCCTTACATACTTGGCCACACCTGCCTTACACACTTGGCCAAACCTGCCCTACACAATTAGCCACACCTGCCTTACACACTTGGCCACACCTGCTCTACACACTTAGCCACACCTGCCCTACACACTTAGCCACACCTGCCCTACACACTTAGCCACACCTGCCCTACACACCTGGTGAGGGAGAATAAGCTGCGAAGCTCATTAGTGAGAGACAAGACTGAACCGCCATCATTATCCCACGCCGCGCCACCTAACTCATCCTACTTGTGTCCTCTCGTTAGTGGGCGCTCCCGACCGCGCGCCTCCTAGCCCCCACCCACCACCTCCACCCATGCCCACACCCATGAAATATGGTCTACGATCGCTCAATCTCATGACCTATTTCCACCATCTACCCCCACCTCCCTAACCCACGCCTTCATCAACAACCCCACGCCCATAATCATGACCCATGTCCACCCTCTCTCACCGCCCAGACGACCCATCACTACAAGTGGTTGGACAGTGGATGGCGGTGTGGTGGTGGGCGGAGATATGGTAGTGATGGTGAGGGAACAGTGGGCCGTGGTGGAGGGGACCAGGATGAAGCTCTTAGTGGGACGAGTTTACTGTGTGAAATAATTCAATGGTCTTCAGTAACTTCACAGCTCCCTGGACTCGACCGGGATGTAACATTATTTACATCAGCATTACTACACGACTCCCGATATTTCTACAGTATTTCAAGAGAATATTTTAGAATTATTTTACAATTAACACATGTCAAAATAATTAATGATCAGATACTCGTCAAATAACTAATGATCTGAGTATTGTCAAAATAAATAATGATTAAACAAGCGTCGAATTAATTAACGAGGAGATTGTGGGAGTGAGACTGAACACAGGAAGTTCTCGAAGCCGTGTTCGGGTCAGTGTGCAGGACGCCGGAGTATGAAACACGGGCGTGGAGCTCCATGAGGCTCCGGTCACCTGCCTTACTCAATCATTCGTGGAGAGAACATCTTGGTGACCGCGGACTACTAAAAGCTAGACTGATTCTCCTATGCTCTATCAAGATTTCTATAATGATAAAATTTCGTAAACGTAATCTCTCCTGACGCCAGGTCTTTACGTGTGTCATCTCGGGGTGATAAAGTCAGTCAGAATGTGGCTTTGAAGATTGAACTCATGAACAGTGATTACTTGCACAGTCCAGACTACAGTGATGACACCCCGATACTAGTGATGGCCTGCTTCTTCCCTCCCCCCTTTTTCTCCCTCTCCTCCCTCTCCCCCCTTGCCCCCCCCCCACTCCCCTGCGGGTCACTCACTCACCGAAGGGCCCGAGGCGGTAGTTGATGGTGACGACAACGATGCCCTCTGAGGCGAGCTTCTCCCCAGGGTAGAGGCGGCCACCGTTGGAGTAGAAGGATCCACCGTGGATGTAAAGGAGGACGGGCATGGTGGCGTTGGCCCCCCGCCTCCTGGTCCCTCGGCCCGCACTGCCGGCACCTTCTATCTGAAAAAAATATCCACATGACATGACAGTTCAACTTGTTGCCTGAGTGAGAGACACCGGGGAAAGGTAATGTGTAACACGAATGACAAACTCTCTCTCTCTCTCTCTCTACATAAATTACAAGAAACCTAGATACCTAAAACCTTGTTCTCTTCCTCCCCAGCAGGGCAACAACAACTTATTTCCAAGAACTTAACACTGAACAACAAGTGTTACAGTGGTCTCCTTACCTGTGGTCCCTCAACACGAAGTGACTGTTAGGCTCACCCACCAACTGTACTGCCGCCACACGTGAGATCATAGATACATAAACCTGTTATAATTACCGTTACTATTATCATTGCTTACGACTGTTCTCTTGTATAAGTACCGTATATATGGTTATCATTCTATAATAGGTTACTGTAACTTGATCAAGACCATCTGACCATTCGAAATTTTTTTTTAGATCTTCCTGTAGTTTTGCAGAGTCCTCGTCAGATTTAGTTACACGTCCTATTTTAGTGTCATCAGCAAATTTACTTATGTGATGGAGCACATGTCATGGACAAAAGTGTGAGTAAGCGCCCACTCCCTCGCTGTAGAGGGGCGCTGAAACAGGCGTGGCAGAGGCCACTTGCAGATAGAAGAACGACTGTGTACCTGTGTGATAAGAACAAAAGAACATAAGAATGGAGAAAAATGCAGCGAGCCTTTTGGCCATTCTGGGCAGTCCCGTTTACACCCAACCCCCTTCGCTCATTTATCCGCCCGCCCTATATTTGTAGTTACCCAGCGTGTTCGAGTTAATGATGAAGTTCGGTTACTTGTTGTACTCAGCCACTACTCTTTCTAAACCACAATTTACCTATCTCGCGTCTAAATCTAAATTTGTCTAATTTAAAATCATTCTACGAGTTGCTCCTGGTTGGATCGTCTGAGTACTTTTGTTACATCACCTTTGTTTAGCCCTGATTTCCATTTATACACCTCTATCATATCGCCCCTCACTCTACGTCTCTCGAGGGAGTGCATATTAAGATGCTTTAACCTGTCTCTGTACTCAAGGATCCTAATGTCTGGGATTAGTCTTGTCATTCTCCTCTGAATTTTTTTTAAGGATTCTATATCCATTCTGTAATACGGTGACCCAAACTGAACTGCTAATCCAAGTGAGGTCTCACAAGCGCAAGATATAGTTTTAGGATGACTTCGCAAGTCTTGTAACTAACACTCCTTTGTTAGCCTTGTTTCGGGCTAATACACATTGTTTACTTGGTTTAAGATTCCTACTTATTATTACTCCTAAATCTTTCTCAGTCGGATTTCTCAATAACAATGTTGGTCATCTGATATCTGATTTCTCTGTTCACATTAAATTTCATGTGCCATTTTTCACACCATGCGATTTTTTTAGATCTTCTTGTAGTTTTGTGGATTCCTCGTCAGATTTAATTACATGCCCTATTTTAGTGTCGTCAGCAAATTTACTAATGTTGTTGTCTACGCCTATATCTATATCGTTTATGTATATAATAAATAGTAATGGTCTAAGTACTCAGCCTTGGGGTACTCCACTAGTGACGTTACCCCAATCGGATTTAGTGCCGTTAATGCTTACTCGCTGTTTCCTGTCCTGTAACCATGCCCTAATCCATTTTACAATATCTCCTCCAATTCCTCGAGCCTCCACTTTTCGTATTAGTCTTTCGTGGGGAACTCTGTCGAAGGCTTTGCTAAAGTCGAGGTATACCACATCACAATCGTGTTCGTCATCCACTGATCCGAAAACATCTGAAAAGAATGTTAATAGATTAGTCAGACGTGAACGCCCGCTTGTGAAGCCATGTTGGGAATCATTGATCAACTTGTGCTTCTCCAGGTGATTTCGAATAGAGTTTGAAATTATTGCTTCCAGTAATTTGCCTACAATTGATGTTAAACTGATTGGACAGTAGTTAGACGAGAATGAACTATCTCTCTTCTTGAAAATTGGTGTCACATTCACTATCCTTGAAGATTCTGGTGGTGACGCTGGTACTGGACAGCTGGCGAGAAACCGTCGCTGTAAATACGAGTAAGTCAATGACAAACTGATATAAAACCAAATTATAATATTAACTAATGTTTAATGCTTTATGTTAAAAAGGTAATATGCATTTTCATTAACGTTTTTGTACAAGGATAAAAATTAACGCGATTGTGTGTGTGTGTGTGTATACGTATTTGAGTGTTTGTGTGTACGTTGTTTTTATATTGATGTGCACATGTGTGTTTTAATTCTATGTTGTGTTCATGTGTACATGATTATGTGTGTATGTGTATGTTGTGTTCATGTGTACGTGTTTGTGTGTTTATGTGTATGATGTGCTGATGTGTACGTGTTTGTGTCTGTGTATGTTGTGTTTTTATATTCATATGTCTACGTGTGTGTGTGTGTGTGTGTGTGTGTGTGTGTGTGTGTGTTCTTTCTTTGCACAGGTAAACAATTAGTCACACCTCTCATTACCTGTTTCTTTTTACCCCAATTGACTGACTAATTGTACACAGGTAGAGAGATGCTTCTATACCATATAAGGTAATTTAATGTTTTTTATTTTTATTTTTCTTATTCAGGCTTCAGTAGATTTTATACTAAACAGATTTAATTTAGTAATACTTGTGGAAGGTGTTCAGGCCGGCGCATAACATTAATAACATGAAACTAAACTTTCTATATACATACTCAAACAACCACCAAGCATCACCACCAAACTGCTGTGGTTCATGTTAGTCCATTCCGGTTTAACTTCAGTAGTCATTCATCACCTCACCTGGTGGCTCAGTTATCTTAAATTCCCAGAAGGTCAATCTATATACTGTCTATAAAATGTTGCCTCTAACTAACTCACCCACTCACTCACTCAATCACCTGAACACGAGGTTGAAGTCGATATATGATTCCTAGATTTGGAGACACCTGAAATTTCGGTCCTTTCAAAAACTGACAGGAGTCCACAGTCAAGTGACATTACCCGCTTCGTCTTGTTCTTTTCATATTCTTCACACTATCTCCCTCCCTCTTTTTTAGGGCTTGTAATATGAACTATAACTATATTCTATTTCGGCCCAACAGTCAGCTATTAATCCAACCCTTCAGATGATCGCACAATTTCTTCACACGTCAACAACAGTAAATAATTTCAAGAGGTAATCAATACTTATATTCTGACACACCTAAAAGGGAACGATTTACTCAGTGATGAACAGCAGGGCTTTCATAATGGCCCCTTTACTATTGATCATCTGTTAATCTTCACTCAGTCAGTCCACCAATCAATAGAGAGTGACGGTAAACCCAGGCAGAAGCACTTGACATTCCCAAAACATAGGACAGATTTTGGCGCTGATCGTTACTGTAAAACTGTCTTCATATTGCCTTAGCCTCCTCCTTTTAATTTCTTCTTTTCCCTCCAGTCATGAGTATGTGTAGTCCTGGACGATATTTTTTCCCACTAAGGCCGCTTTCACGCGGCACGGTGCAGTGGACTACTGTTGACTGATGGTTCATATGTACGTTTTCACACTGCATGGTCACGGCGAATCTGTCGTCACGGCACCGTTTTGCACTCACGGCGTCTCACTGCATTGTCCGGTACCGTGACCGTACACGGTTGTAGTCGTCTGTGCTTGTCTATACACGTCTTCACACCTCACGGCAATTTTCCGTGTCTTCACACGGATGCAATTCAGTCCAGCTGTCGACTCCCTAGTAGCGAGACGTGTGGAAAACTTGTCCAAAGTTACTGACTATAAACAATTTACAACAATGGAAACTTATGAAATTGTTATAGACCTGCTAATATCTCTCGTGGAACTGAAACCTGTTTTATGGGACAAGAGCCTAGATGATTACAAATGTCGAAATTTGACCATAGCTGCCCGGAGGGATGTATGTTATTCAAACGATGTTGCAAAGGCTCCCACTGTGTCTCTTTGTTCATTCAGTGGATGTACCCAATGGATTCTGCATTGTCGTTTTTATTTTCCTTGTATGCTGAAGGTACAGATATCGCAAACGCTTCCTGCGACCCATTGCTTTTCACTGCTCAGTACAGACCCGAAATCCATCATCTCTATGGCGCCGTGGCTGTTCACGGGCACGGCGAAAAACCATGCTGTGTGAAAGAGGCCTAACACTATTAATGCTGAAGTTCCTCAGTGTTCCGCTCCTGCACTAGCTCTTCACTTATCACTCATTAATTATCTCATTTCAGCGACAAACAAACCTATTCATTCTTATACAGATGACTCAACCCTTAACAGATCCATCACTATGAATGTCCGTCTCACTAGATTGATTTTTTATTGTCAAGCAACAGACATATTGACTCCCCAGGAGGACCTCTCATACATAGCTGAGTGGGGAAAATCCAGCGTAATTGAATTCAATGCTACCTTTACCAAATATACACAATGTTCAGTAGTAGGCGTAATCTTGCATAATTTAGCGTAGATTTTGAAAACACCATCATCCCATCATCACACAACATTGATATTTTATGCATCACCCTTACTTCAAGTCTTACCTTTACAAAATTCGTCAAAACTTGAGCCAGAAATTTCATAGTCATTGAACTGGCGACCTACACTTAACATAACCACCGCTACGCGCCCTCCTTGCCTGAGATGGCATCTGGGAGCGCCTTTGGTTTTTGTTATAATTCAGTTCTACAGAACCTCTACCTCGTAAACTTCATGTTTACTCTGGACTACTGTAGCACTGTGTCATAATATAACCTCCATTATCTCTATCAGCTCAAAATATCCTGCCTCAGATATCATTCTTTAGCAAGGTAACACCTCACTTTGTTTGGCATCTCCCTACGTTTTTTTTAAGGCTTACAGTATATTTATAAAGAATATTGACGTAACTTCCTTGGGATTTTTTGACACGTAACTTTGATCTTCTTTAATTTGTACAGGTAGTGTAAAACATCACCTAACCTACCACATTCAGCTAACTTTCTTTCTTTAGCCCTCGCCTCTCGACCTACAGTGTATAATAGGTGCGTTATGTCTGGTAGAGCTGCGAGTGTTACGTAACTAGGGTAAACTTAATTTACATTAAAGAATAACAAAGAATAACGGTGAGTAAAAATGATCGAGAAAATCCATGTACTCACGAGCGGTGTGTAGACGTTGAGTGTGAGGCAGTCCTCAGACATGTTGTACTCCCCGACGCGTTTCTGCTTCATGTAGAGGTACTCGCTGTCGTTTGCTGGCTCCCCTTCCCTCTCGGAGTTTTTATTCAAAGACTCCATGTCGGGTTTTTTCACGTCCTCTGCCGACGCTTTCTTATTGTAGATTCCCTTTGGTCTAATGAGGGTTTCTCTTTTGTCTGTGAGATTTCTCTCCTTGACACCTTCACTGGTTTTCTGTAAGGACAGAGGGAGGGACCCCGCGGCCCCGTCTACACCAGGTTCTGGGGTCTGGGGAAGGTCTGCATTCGGACTTGCACTGTTTACATTTCTTAGTCTTCTAAATAAAAGCTCGCCACTATTTTTATAATGTGTTTCATCACTACTCAATTCGACACTACTATGAGTACTATCACTACTGTTGCTACTAGTGTCACTACTGGTGTGTGTGGTGGCACCTGGCCCACTCGTCCGAAACACTTCTGCCTCGTCTGACACTGGCACTGTGTCGTCTAGGTTCCACTCGTGGCACTCTGGCCTACCTCCATCCACCTCAGCACCCTTACATTCCTCCTCCTTCCTCAGTTTCCTTCGTCTCTGTGCCTCCTCCGCCGCCTTTCTTGCTTCGTCCTCTATCTCTTCCTCATCCTCCTCGTGCAGTTCCCCGAGCTCCTGCGCCAAGGCCTTCCTCAGCTGGTCCTCGAGGTGGCCCAAGTCCACGTTGGACTCGACGGTGTCCCAGACTTCGTTCTCCAGTGGCTGGTAACACATGGGTCCGAATCGACGGGCGTCCAGCACACCATCCCAGGGACTCGCCTCCTCCGGCGCCTGCAACAAAACAATACTCGGTCGTCAATACTGTCTTATTAACACAACAATCAGTGAGAGAAATACACAATGCTATATTAACCCTTTAGAGAGCCGAGTGGGCTATTCTCCGTAAAAAAACAACAACAACAACTTAAATATACACAATAAATTACACTACTGAGAACACAATAATAACTGGCCCGCCAACAGTTGCTCCCACACCAACATTACCTGAATAGCACATAAATATAAGTCCGCAACACAACACTGTTACCAATGGCTGGCAGCAGAGACGAGGACTTCCGCAGGATGAGTGATACATGTATACACAGCTCTAAGACTGGGTGAAGTGAAGGAGGAGGACGCCAGAGGAAGGTGTAGTATTATGAGGGAAGTGATTTACCTGTAAGTATGTGATTTACCTGTAGTTTCTGTGATTTACCTGTAACTTTGGTGCTTACACTTATCACCAAAAATGTCTCAGGTGCAGATTAAGGACCAGCGCTGAGATTCTCAGATATGTGTACAGTGCGTTCTCTCTCCCCCATAGTCACAAGTCGAGGCTAGTTCACTTATGGAGTTTATATCAGTGCATAGATCTGCGGCTCAACTAATTTAACACAGATAGGATAGCTTCTTATGTATTAGGATATTTAATATTAAGGTAAATAAATGGTGGCGAAGGTGTGGCTATTGGGGGAGGCTGGAGGCCATTTAAAAAAAAAAGTAGTAGTAATAGTAGTAGTAGTAGTGTGTGTGTGTGAGGGAGAGAGAGAGAGAGAGAGAGAGAGAGGTGTGGTGATAGAACACTACTAATCTCTGTATTGGATTCCATGCGAACGAGGGCAGGCGGTGACCCATTCTCACCATGGTTTACCTGAGCGACTATTCTCCAATTCTTCCCTGCATCTTCCTTCCTCTCCCCTAGTTCTTTTTTATCTCTACCCTCTTACTTTTTCTCCTTCCCCTTCCTCCTCTATCCTTTCCACTAACCTCCATCATCCCTTACCCCTTTTACCCTACTTCCTTTCCTCCCTTTCCCCTTACTCGTATTTCTCCCCCCACACCCCACCCCTCTACCTCCTCCCCTCTTGATTTTATTACCCACATAATTCAGTAGAAGCAGCACCTCTCACCTCCCCCTTCGATGCTCTCTAAAGATCCATCATCATAATGGCCAGCGATCACTTTAACTGTCGCCTGGGTTCTGTGCTGACCGTACCAATAATGCCTAAAGTGGTAAACATCTTCAGAGTAATGACGGAATATTCTCACCCAATACCCAGAGTCTTTTAAATCGTATATGGAGATGTGTATAGGTTAGGTATATATATATTTTTTCGATATAATTAATATAAACACAAAATTAATTCTTCTCATCACGAACGACTAACAGCTCTTCGGAAAAGTGTTAATAAGACGTGTTCAAGGAGGTCTAACACTCCTCTCTTGTGAATTAGTCAGGTATATATATATGTGAAAAGGTTGACAGCTAGAATGGTCTTAGGGCGATGCTGTGTTTCTCCTCGGGGTAATTAGCTGCGGTATAGACTCTCTCTCTCTCTCTCTCTCTCTCTCTCTCTCTCTCTCTCTCTCTCTCTCTCTCACACGCCTGGCCAATAGTCTTGACCATACTCTCACAGCTGGTCGCCCAAAGTCAAAGGCAGTCACCACGATGAAAGGCCAAGTCTGTGTCCCACGAAAAGAGAAAACAAATGTTATTCCTTAATTAGTGTTCAGGTTTGGGAATTGGTTTTTGTTATGTGTTTATAAATAATCTCCTTGTAAGTGCAGTTGATATGGAATTTTTTTTATAGTAGAGAATGGCAACCTGTTTTCCAGCGATCACTTTATTTGGAACACCATTGTACCAGCGACTACAGTGATGTACCAACCACTTTACTCCAGCGAGCACTTTACTCCTGCGACCACTTTACTGCAACGACCACTTAACTGCAGTAACCACTTTACTGCAGCGACCACTATACTCCAGAGAGCACTTTACTCCGGCGACCATTTTCCTCAAGTGACTCTTCAGATTTCACAAGTCTCGGTCTGTGGGTGACGCTTAATCTCGTCTTTAATAGGCCCAGCATTAACTCTCTCCTCTCAACAACAATTTGGAGGAAAATTTTACTTACGAATTTTAGAAAATCCGGCATTTAGGAAAGCCAGATTAAATCTCCCCTCTCAACACGAATTAAGTGGGAAATTTTACTTACGAACTTTAGAAAATCCGGGACCCAGGGAGGCAAGATTGACTCTCCGTCTCAACTTAGGTTGAAAGAGAAACTTAAGTTACCAACTTTGGGGGATCCGGACCGTGAAGTGTGGAGCCAGCAGGAGACCTTGACATTATCCCCACTGTTGAACAAACTTGGGTAGTGTCCCCTGCCACGGCAAAGTTTTCTGTGGCACAGTTCCTGGGCCTTTAGTGTTGTAAAGTTTTGTAAGGAGTGATGCAGCAGTCAGGTGTGTATGTGTGTGACTAAACAAACTCCACACAGCACCCGGAAATGATCATACAGAGATGGGACGGAGGCAGGGTTTCCAAGAAGTCACATAATTGCCTATGTTAACAGGTATCGATCGTCTCCTCAGGTCCAGAACTCACCAACATCTCCCGCCAATTCACGTTTTCCTCGAACTGGTGATGAGAAAACGCAACCAGGAGGTGACTTGTATTAGTTACGATTATGTGGCTGGTGGTAAACAAAGATAGGAAGATGTCGTATCTCTCTCTCTCTCTCTCTCTCTCTCTCTTAACGTGAAGCGTAGTTAGACAAGAATGGAAAAGAGTAAATTAGCGTGTGAGTCTCTTAGAACCTGTAAGTTCATTGTCTGAGTTCATTATCTAATTTCTTATTTGTCTTCCTCCTGTTTTCTTCTTCTTCGTCTTTTTTCTTCTTCTTTTTGCCTGTCGCTTTCATAATTTCTTTTAGTTAACGTCACCATCATCATCATCACCATTATCATCATCATCATAATCAACGTGCTCACGGTGTGGCGCTGAACTTCCATCAGAAAAGACACCACCGCCAAACATGTTTACGGTGCTTAGAGACACTTGAGGTCTTGTACCGTAATTCCCAACCCTCCAGGAGATTATTATACAACATATTGATCTCGGTTCCGTAGCGCAGTGGTAGAGCTTTCACTTAGCAAGGCAAGAGTTCCGGGTTCGATTCTTGGCCTGTGGGGAGGATTGGTCTCCCTTCTTGTACCGTACATTAACTCTTGTACATTCAGCGAGAAAGTACGTACATTATCCAGAGTTTGTGAGTGATGGAACAACCCTTGGGTGGACTAGCCTCATGCCATGGTGGTGGAGTAACCCATAAAGCTGCTGAATGATGGTGGAACAACTATTGGGTGGACTAGCATCTTGCCACGGGGAAGAATGAACCTACTAGCTGCTGAATGAATGGTATGAATCAAGATATCAGAGTCTGCCCGGCCACCCTACACCATGAGCAAGAAAAACATTGTATGTTTGAAAAAATAAAAACAAATGAGAATCACTTGCAAGTTTGGGCTTCCAGAATCTCAGTTTCACAATGCTTGAGAAACTGTCATAAACTTACAGTATTGAATCTATCTATCTACTGTCCTTTAAGATCACGGCCACTAGTGTCGTAAGACTTATGGTATCTCTCTCTCTCTCTCTCTCTCTCTCTCTCTCTCTCTCTCTCTCTCTCTCTCTCTTTGATATCGAGATGGTTCATCGCTAAGTTATCAGAACCAGAGAGGATGTCTTCATCAGGAGGGAGGCAGCCTGAGTACAGTTTAAGGGAGGACTCTTCAATGATTGCTCTTAATAGGATAAGTGACATGTGTGTGAGACGGAAGGCGGACGTGAGCCAACCAACCTGTCCCTTCCTATCAGGTATCACTCACTCACGGGAGCTACATAAGCGATGTGGGAAGATGGTGGTGGAGAGCTCATGAATGTGTGATAAATGTGTTCCGGAGGTAGTGAGTGAAAAATGGATGTCTTTTGAAGGCAGGGGATAGATGTGCTTGGAGGTCGCGTATGAATAATGAATGTATTTTTGAAGGCAGTTTGTGGATGGTTGCCATGAATGTGCTTGTGGGTAATGAATAACTAATGTATGTCTTTTGGGGGCAATGGTTTGGATGTACTTGGAGGTAGTGAATGAATAATGGATGTGTTTTAAAACCAGGAGATAATTGTGTGCTCTGAATTTGCTTGTGTGAAAGTTACACCACACAAGAGGCCGACAACTCCAAGCAGAAAAGTTTACCGTGGCATAACTGACAATGTCTAAAATTGTGGACGAAATTATGTAAAAGGAGTAGTTTACGGCAGAGATACAGTGTATATATATTCCTGTGTATTCTTCTTATGGTGAGAAAAAATCCAAACAATAAAACAAGCGAGCATCGCCTTGCGTGATCATATTTCCTCATTATACCACGTTCACCCGCCATGATTATATCTCGGTGTATTCCCCTGCGGATAGAATCTACCGCATAAACAAGATAACACTAAAACAAAAGACACTGAAATTTGTCTCACGAGGAAGATGTTTATCATCATAGCCGAACACACGCAATGGTTGGACGGTGTACGTGGCGGCATTCTTCCTCCAGTGATCAAGTTACTGCGGGCGAGTGTATCATAACATAGATCTGAGCACCAACTTGTGTGTTTACATACCAGGGTGGGGTGTGAATTACTTCTACCCTCAATACCCCATTCCCAACTTATTTACTCCCTATTAGTTAGTTTTCTGATGAGGACTTTTCTGGGGCATCCATTCTCATTAATTTCATCTCTTCTCCTTGAGCAACATTGGACAGACACACTAAACGATTTTCCAATTGGATCATCGTCACCTGAACGTCCAACCGCATTGCCTCCCATACTTGCGGAGAGCTAGCAAGTACTGTCTTATCAAAACAAAGCCTTGGACATTAAACACAACTACGGAAAATTTGAGAATGAACAAGTACAAACTCGAAATAGGGACGTGGAATATAAGGACATTATCTGA